AAAGCGTGGTAAAATTGAACTCAGCTGTTTTTCCTTCTGTTGAATTTTTTTGCGCCCCTGAGAACGGTACCAGCCACCTCTCCACCGTTAGTTCAGCTCTGAATACTAATCGCTATCGGCTCCTCTTCAAGTGGAAGTACAATTACTTTTTATCGTACCTCATTTCAACTTTGTATGATACAACATTTATAAACAGCGAAAAAGCTCGTACCAGATATGTTAATATGAACCCGGAATTATAGATGGCTCTAATTGTTAATATATTGGGTTGACAAATAAGTCCTTTCGGTTTTTCTGTCACTTCTTATCTGATGAATTCAACTCTAAGGTGGATTGTTTATCCTGTTTTTAATATTTCAACAACTATATCTGTTAACTCTTGTTGGAACTAGCTTAGTATTATGTCTGGTATTGCTCTGTGAATATTGAAGAAAGTATCATTCGTTATCGGCCTATTTTGTTATCCCCACATCCCCCACATATTTTATCACAGTAAGGCTCGAAATCGGTTTTGTACCAAATATAAGCTCCTGTCATGCTCAAATACCATGAATGGGGTATCGTTGGATTCAGAATTTCACGGGGGGTTAGCGAATCGTATTTTCCTATTTTTTTTTTCTAAAATAAATAAATTCGATACAAACATTTTGCTAGGCTTCAATACTGGAACGGTGGTAGGTCTGTAGATCGATAGGGACAAATTGGATCTTGAAGATTTTGCTGCGTACAGCAAGACCCGGATAGTTCCTCCGAACATCGATCCGTTTAGCCAAACGACTATTTCGAGATAACGCAAGGCATAGGGTTCGCATCCACACAGACTTACATTAATTGTAGTACTGTCATTGAATACATGTCTCATTTCGTCGACTTGAGGTCTCTATGATCGAAAGAGGAGGAGATTATTTTATTTGTCGATGTTGTTTTTGATCGGCATGCCTTTTAATCGTTAATTTTTTACCAAATTTCAAGATTGAGCCACCAATTTCGAAGGCTTCCTTCTCCTTCAGGCGGGCAAAATAGTCCAATCACCCCGAAAATTCGGAAAAAGAAGTTATGAAAGAAAACAAACTTTATTTGCGAATAACTGAAAAATTACACACTTTTCCCTTGGTGATGCCCATGATCATATAAAAGATTACTAAATCCCCTACAAAAGGAAAAAAAAAAAAATCATCGAAATCGGACTATTTTTAACTAAGATACAGCTTACTGATATTTATGAACATGTTGGTTCCAAACAAAAATGTCGATTATATTTATCGATAAAGTAACATTTGATTTCTTTATCTTTTGATATCTTTCATTATTTTAATTTATTATTAATTTGGCATTTGATAACAATATGCTGTGCGAATTTTTCGCATGGGCCTACTACTATTAAAATAATAATGACTTTATTGAGTATTAATACAGTCTGCCTACTTGGTACTGGAGCTATTCGTTTACACAATTTTCATATATGAAAGGAAAATAAATAAAGTACGCAACATGGCAACACGCATTTATGTTTGTGATTCACTACGGAAACGACAGGACTATTCACTACGGTTGGTAAAAAGAGATGAAAAATGGACATTTTACGATAATGTAGCACGTAGAAAATCTTAGGAACCTAGTAGTGAGGCTTCTAGATGATTGTCAAAAATTTTGTCAATGATTTCAAGGGTGTTATGTTATAATACATTGAGTTTTATTTCATCCTGCAAAAACGGAAGGACTTAGCGAAATCAATAGTGACCATTAATTACTGACGCCATTTTGTTTCTTTGATATTTGGCAAGTGATGAACTTCAAAATTCGAAATCGAATTTTCTGCCAGCAAACTACGATTACTTTTCTTTAGTTATTAAAAAAAAATAAAAAAAATAGTGCAGAATTAAATTGGATGCTTATGGTTATAGTGAGCGAGCTCTTGATAAAAAAATCGAAGAAAAGATTGGGAAATCGCTGCTAAAACTTGGCAACACGAACGCTACCGGCAACAAACGATCTATTTGAATCGAATATTGTGTGAAAAAGAGACAAAACACACGGATTTTTCTTCATGATAATGCATCATCCACATACATCAAAACCAATAAAGGAAACGATTGAGGTCTTGGCTTACTCACCAGTCTTGGCTCCTTATGAAAATATAGAATTTAACAAAAAACAGTACTTATATAGAAATAAACTCCTATTGGTTATAGTTTCGGAGATTGCGTCAAGAGAATTAAAATACCTATGACGTTCCCTTCCAATCCAAATTGTAAATTTTATATTTACCGCTCATAATTAATTTCTAATAATAACTAAAATAAGCATAAAGCTAGAAAAGAGACATTAGGTGATTAGGTTATTTTTTTATTTTTCCTTATTATTATTTTTTTATTATTTCTTTCTGCTTATATATGATATATTGTTATGATGTATGTTTTGTTAAGTGGTGGGGGAGTCGCTATTTATTCGTATTCAAGACTCTGAATGAATGCTAGGCCGCTAGTTTTCCTTTTTCTGCTGTAGCGAGGACGGATATAAAAAGATGCGTTGTAAACCTTGACCTCCTTGTGATCCTGAGAAGTGGTCTGGCGTTGATTCATTACTGTCTTCTGATCCTGAAGCTAGCGGATGTCTTGTCGGACATCTGTTTGAGCCAATATCGACAAAAAACAAATTGAAATATGAGTTTTGAACTGTTAAAAATAAAAGGTGAAGAAATAAATTTGAACTATAGCAGGAATAATAAAGAAACTTCTTCCACAATCAAATCAGCGAACTTTTATACTTGAAATCACTGCCAATATGGTCTTAAAATTTTTTTTAAAGATAAAACTAACATAAAACACTTTAGACGAACGGACGAAAAGAGAAGATTTTTTTTTGCGGGGATAGGAGTGGGGGTTAAAATGTAGGAGGTTGATGTACTCTAGCAGGAGTTAAATTTCTAATTCTCCCGAATTTCTTCCTCTAATGTAACTTCAATTTTTTTCATTTGAAATAATTAAACATTTCACATTCAATCAGCTATAAAAAATCGTTAAATATAAGACATGAAAGAATTTTATGATTAGTTAATGGAATAGATTAAAATAGCAAAAAAAAAAAAACATAAAAAGGATCGTAATACAGAATCGAATATACCCGAACGCTTGCCGAACTTGGTCGAAAGGTTTCCACAAACCTTTTCAAACCATTATTTTTCACACTTAAAACACCTAAACGTATGTATTGTATTATAAATTGATAAAATATTGTCAAACTTTCGATTGTTTTTATTTGATCAAAAAAATTATAAATAAAAGGTATTTCGAACCTTTTATTATTTGTGCTAATCATACAGTCTTGCTAATGGTACAGATTCATTTTAATCAAATAATTAACATCCGCCTGAAACTTCGTAAATAGTTTCATCTCATCGTAACCTACAAATATTTTATTTACGGAAATTTCGGAATTGGAGCGTTTTTAATTTAAAGATCGCCATACTTATTTATTTAACTTGGAACTAAAAACTCGTAAGTACACATTTGCTTTATAATTGAATCGTAAGATAATATGATCACAAAATATAAAAAAAAAGGTAGCCTACAGAAATTTTTCGGCGTTTGGCCTATGTAACCTCGTTAGTTTTTTCGGGGTGGAGTTGGACCAATATTTTTGTAGGTCACCTTTTTTTTTTTTTTTTTTTTAGAATATTATAATAGTACCAAATTAAATAGATTAAGTTTGCCGATCTGTAGATTAAATACGCTCTAATTCCGAGAATTTTCGTAAATAAAATATTTTTAGGTTACGATTAACGAAGTTTCAGGCAGATGTTAATAATTTGATAAAAAGGTGTCTGTCACGGACTAGATGAATAACACAAGGTTCGAAATACTTTAGAAGAAGGAAGAAAATGTCGGTGTTTTTTTATTTTAAGAAATAGCATGAAAATAATTAGAAATGAAAGAAACAAACAATTCGACTTCATAAGTTTTTCATCTTAAGGGCTCTTGAGTTTCTTTTACTCTAAATAATTTCTTGTTCTGGGATTTTTTAATGATATCCTCGATTTTTTAGATTGTGGAAATGTTGAGTGTTTTGTTCCGTTGATATCGTTAATTTTAATTAATCAGACTATTCTGTCCACTATCGGTTGCTAATAAATTATTAATTTTATTATGTTACTATAAATTGTATTTATAATAATGTATTCATTTTAATGTGTATATATATATATATATATATATATATATATATATTTTTTTTTTTTTTTTTTTTTACACGATATATTCATAAATCTCCATCAAATTTAATAATTGAGCCTTCATTTTCAATTTTTTTTTTATCCTTTATCAGCGAAAAATAAGCATTTCTCACAAAAAAAACGGAAAAAAAGTTTAAAAAAAAAATTATGTAGCCTTAATATTAATGCACTTTAATGTGGCAAAATGTTGTAATAATCATTAAAAAAAAAATGGATTTGTTTATTTAAAAATAATACAATTTATGATTACTTATATTCATGATAATGAGAATTGTTTCTAAGTTCTCTAAAGAATTAAATATATAAATAAATAAATATATATATATATATATATATATATATATATATATATATATATATATATATATATATATATATATTATCGTAATCGGACCATTATTAGCAAAGATACTGCCTATTGTAATTTGTACAAATTGTTGAAGGTTAATTAAGTTTGATTAAATTAATACACCCCTCTAGTAATACATTGCATTTCCATATTAAATGTATTATTGTTTGTTCAATGACCTATATATTCTGCGAATTATTCGCACGGGCCAACTAATAATGTATGATACGTTACATGTGATAAAACAATGGGTTTAAATAATGATTATGTGTTCATATATCACTATAATTATTGTTCACGAGACAGATTATTATATATCTTAATAAATGAATAAAAAAAATAATGATTAATTTCTTGATTTAGATTATGATATGATCTGTTTTTTACCAATTTATGATAAGTTTTTTTTTCTAATTTCAGGTAGAGGATTGGAGGATTCGAAAAACCTCAACGAACTGTAAGTTTTTTTTATTCTAAATTATTATTTTTAGTCTTAATAGATAAAAAAAAAAAAAATCCTTTAAAAGAAATTGCTATTAATTTTGAAAATGTTAGTGTGAATGTGATCTGTGAACACTATTATAAATGTACTTGAGACAGATTGTAATATTTTTCAATAAATAAGTTTAAAAATTTTTTTTGAAAAAAAGATATTTCTGCTACTAGTCGAGGAAGTATAATACAAAATGCAAATTAACGTACATATAATGCGTAATAAGACCAACTAGTTACTATCTAACAACGGAAATAATATTTAATAACAGGATTCGTAAATTAACGATACGAATAATATTATCTGATGGAAACATCAATTACGCATAGAGGCCTCTTATTTTCCGTAATTATTTTCTTATATCATCATCAAGGAAGGAAATGTGAATTCAGAACAAATCAAGTCAAGAGAAATAAACAAAAGATATAATAAAGAACATTTTTATTATTCTTATGAAGTATAAATAAAGTTGGTTATAGTTTTATCGGAAGTGTTTAAAAAACTGGAAAATATGATTATATAAATAGACAAAAATAAAATAGGACTGTGTATAAATATAAAATTTATATGTATATAAATTTTTATATACATTTCATTACCATACAAACTTTTCTTTCGAAATGGCGACCGACGTGTGTCGCTATGGGCTGTTGCGCTAAAAGAGCTGTAACGAATTTCGTGGAACTTCGTCTAAGTCTTCTCCTTTAAGCCCTTTTATTTATATATATAGCACAATTTTCCGAAAATAAGCTAAAAAAAACATTTTTATTAATCTTTTGAAAAATAAATAAAGTTGGTTATAGTTTTATCGGAAGTGTTTAAAAAACTGGAAAATATGATTATATAAATAGACAAAAATAAAATAGGACAGCAATTTTTTCTTCTCTGTTTCTCAAACGATTTCCTTTTTTTATTTACTTATTTTCTAGTTATTGACGTGCGTTAGTTGGTCTTATTAAAAAAAAAATAATTACGATAGTACATACATGAAAATGTTAATTTGTTCAAAACCGCTAATCTGCGAAAATTATTCACTGATTGCTTTGAAATTTTAATACAACGTTGCAATAAAATTCACGAGAATTTTTATAAACATTGCATCACCATACAAACTTTTGTTTCGAAATGGCGACCGACGTGTGTCGCTATGGGCTGTTGCGCTAAAACAGCTGTAACGATTTTCGTGGAACTTCGTCTAAGTCTTCTCCCTAAATAAAGCCCTTTTATTTATATATATAGCATAATTTTCCGAAAATTAGCTAAAAAAAAGAAGTAACGATAGATTTAGTATTTTATATACGAAAAACTACATAAGTACACGAATAGTACTTAAAATGGTTTACGTACGAATTTATAAGAGTAGACAAAAAATGTTATAAACAAGCAAATTCATATATGAGTTCCTTCACGTCAAAGACAGATATCTATCATTTTCATAAAAAGCTGAGAAACAATTAATTTTTGTTTTATTGGTTCAACTCAAACTGTTTCTGATAATTTTATTTCAGAATTTTCAAACTAAATCATAATAAAAAATCGTTAGAATATAAGTTATGTGACAGAAAATTTGCTTTTTTCTCAACTTTTTAAAAAAAATTGATATTAAGCCACTCATATGTTTTCCTCAAATTTTTTATAATGATTCTGGAATTTTGACAAACACTGCTTAAATTGATACGTGAATGGGGCTTTAATTTGAACAAAAAAAAAATCATCATTTCTTCCCTATATTTTGGAATCTAAAATCAGAACTCTTGTTGAAAATTTAAGTGGCGACATTAATTGTTGTCTGATGATGTCTGAATGGAGTGGTATAGGTGCTGCTTCGTACGGGACACGGAGTTCAGACATGTCAAGGCGAAATGACTAATGTCTGTGTTTGTTGTATATCTACATAACAGTGATTAATCGTGTCTGAATTTGTATTGTTTTGTCTGACCTAATAGGTGTACACATCCAACATTTTCTTTAACTTTTACCCTAAACGAATTCTGTACATTTTATAACGGTTTGATATCATACCAATTAAAAAGTTCTAGAGAAATAGATCTTGTGATTGGACAAGAAATCTATGCCATGACTTCTCACAATTCCGCTTTCACAAATTCAAAGCTTACCCACTTTCTTCCTGCTAAATAAATGACACCGTTTCCCTCCGAGCTAAGTCCTACGTGTCAAAAGGTGGCTAGTATTTGAAATGAAATATTTAAATAAATATAGTATAACTAATAAATATATTTTAATTATTTATTGAAGTTTACAAATATAATAATTAAATACAATCAGTAAATAAGAAAAATTCAGAAATAATGTTATTAACACGTCGAGATACTACTCAATGGTACCAATCCCTAAGTAGTTCTAAGTAAAAAGATCAGGTGGTCATCTTCTTTTCAGAAGTATCGGAGGAATCTAGAAAATATGGAAAGTAATAGATTTGGATGGGACTGTCGTTTGTCATGAAAGGATAGAAATCTGGCTCGTGAAAAATCAGCGAAATACGGAACATTTCTTTTTTTTTTATTAAAGAAATTTACAAATGTAATTAATAATAAATACAACAAGTAAATATGAACAAGTAACATGACATATACAACATGAAGAGAAACTATCCATTGGTAGCACTCCAATTATATTTCTATATTAGAAGATCCCGAGGCCATCTTCTTTTCAGACGCCTCGGATTGTTATCAGGAATAGAAGAGGAAGCAAGGTTGGAAACGAGAGGGTTCGGATGGTTCAGAAGTTTATTATGAAAGGACAGGTATCTGGATTGAGCTAATTTGGAAACATATGGTACATTAAGGTGATTGTGGATGATTTTGTTTGTGACGAAGTAGGGAGAGTTTGATGGTTTAGTAGAGCCCCAAAGCTCGATCCCGTAAGTCCAAATAGGCCTTATTATAGTAATACGTATGAGTCTTTTGTAAATAGTTGGCAGTTTAGAGCGTTTGTCTAGTAAGTGCTGGAGTAGTCGGAAACGTCGGGTGGTTTCTAGTCGTTTCAGTCTGATATGAGGATTTGGTCAACAGGGATAAGTGGGGTATTGTTAAAGGATACTATGTAGGACAGGAAGTCATAGGTTTACGTCGAAGAGTAAAGGTAATTTGATGGGATTTATTTTAATCCTCCAGTTTTGAAACCATTTTTCAAGACTTGTGATTGAAGAGTTTGGGATGCAAAAGATGGATCGTTATTAAATGATAGGATACACGTGTCATCGGCATATGTGGTGATGACAGTGTTGGAATGGGTTGGGGTGTCAGCTGTATAAAGGATTAGGACCTAGCATACTACTTTGATGAACACCAGCATACTAAGAAAAAAGAGATGAAAAAGCATTGTTATGATTTACTTTGAAGAATCTGTCAGTAAGGTAGGACCGGATAATGAGGAAGTATGTAGGTAGTACTGAAACATTAAGTTCTTTATGAATGGTTTCATTTGTGACATAATATGGAGCATTTAGCATTTCACGAAGGATTTTAGATGATGAGAATTGGATACAATATGAATTCGATGGTTTGGTGGAGCCCTAAAGCTCAACTCCTTATGTCCATATAAATATTATGATAGTCATGAATATGAGCCTTTTGTAATTAATTGTATGTTTGGATGGTTTGTCTAGTAAGTGTTGGAGCAACCGGAAAAATAAAATATATTGATTTTTTTTTTCGTGAGACTGAAATGCAAAAAATGTATTTTATTTTGAGAAAAGAGGTGGTCCGGGGTGGCGATCCTTTAAAAAAAAAGTAAAAACTATTTCATTTGACGTTTTGACACAACTATGCAGGTTTTTATCAGGAATAGAACAAACAAGATACAACGGCTATAGAGAACAGAAAGAGTTAAAAGATATTTAGGTTTTCTTTGAATTATTGTAAAATTTTAAGTGTGGTGTAAATCAATTAACAAAACACTATTTTACTTCAAGCTCTGTATGTACAGGTTACCGTTAAGTAACAGCTCTACAGATCGCTGTTACTTATTTAACATCGAAGTGTTAGTACCTTATTAATGATTAAGTAACTCCTTGAGCAAGTTGGCTGGCTAAGTTCTAAAGGGACTTCATTTACGGGAAAGTGTTGGCATTTCCCAAAGGGTCCAGCTTTTTCTCCATCCTTTCTTCTTTTTCCACTCCCTTCTGGAAAAGTATTTCCTAGCACCTCACTTTTCTTAAGAATGTCTAAGAAACTTTGTGGTGTGATGAGAAAAAAAAAAAAAAACGTTCTATATACGGGTCGGTATAAAATGAGTTTGGAGCGAGCGTAGACTTCATAATACTCTTTTAAGGTCATCAGATTCAATCATTATTAAACATCTTCCTCAACATCTATTTTACCTACCTTATATAATTACCTATATTTCAAGGTAATTATGTAGTGCAATAAAAACATAGGTAATTATATATTACGGAAAGAGTTGTTTTTTAAATATAAACTCCTTGTTTGTACGTGTATTACTCAAAGTGATGGAATTTAATATAGTGATTATGGACCACTTGTAAAACTTTTCTCTTACTTTGGATCAATCGTACGAGCAGTTTTGAAATTCTAAATTTGAGCATGCGTAGAAGAAAATAGTGGACATAATTAGTGAAACTTATACAGGACCATCAATGAATGAAGTCGCTCAATCCCTGAAGATTTTATCAAAATCGAATGAACGGTCTTAGGTATTATTGAGGAAAATATTGTTTTTCAATTCCTGTATTAATATAATCCTTCTTTTCTAAATTGCCAGAATGTTGAATAAAACTAAATTTTATGTTTCTATTGACCCTAAATTTAAAATTTAAAATGTTACTACTAGTTATAATTTAATCCTATATATTATTTCTAAAAAAGTTTTTTTTGACGACTACTTCCTTCAGAAAATCCTTCGTCATTCGTGCTACCATCTTTTGGAACTTTCTTCCTGCATCCACGTGGATCCTTGGAACGTCAACCCTCGTCCATAAATTC